TCAGCTTTTGTAATCGTTATGGTGGCCAATTTACCATTTCAACTTTGTTGATATATCCAAATTATTTGGTTACTCCCACCGACGCAGCCCCAAACAGTTTCTTTCGAAACTATCAGCCTTTTTACATATTAATCACCTCTGGGAGTTAAAGGGTTAATTACTCCTTTTTAACAAAAACAGTGGTCATAAGTCAGCAGTGTCTGTTCTGAAGTTTGATGATGCAGGAGGAAGACTTGTCTCGGGATCAAGGGTAAATTATATATACCTTATATTTTAAAATTAACACTATTGACTGTAAAGCAGAGTTGGAAAAGTTTTCATTTGTACTATTTTTATACTGTCTCATGAAAGTGTAAAACAGTATCTTAATTGGACATGCTAGTAATTATAATGGTAGAAATGGATGGTTTTCATTTATTTTGTCCATTAATTTATCACTTGAAAGCATTAGAAGGAAAAATCTAAATATTTGGAATCCAATTCCTTGTGGAAGATGTTGCATGACTTTGTGTAGCACAAATCTGACAAAACAAATCACTTCATTTTTTAATTCAATGAGCAAGTCAAACATTTACATTCTGTCTTATTTTACACAATCATATTAAGCTTCCAACATTGCTGACCCTTAGTAGCTAGCACACAGGACAACAAGTTTCCCACAGGAACCAAGTGCCTCACTCACCACAGATTTATCAGTCTGTAACTCAGTGGTAAAGCACAAGCACTGAATCTGTAGGTCTGAGGCTTAATCTCTTTTGAATTAAGGGCTGATATTTTTTCTTCATCCCAAGCTCTCAACAGAGCAGTATTCATTAACCAAGTTTAAAATGTACCATTGTTTTATTCTATTTGAGAAGTTGGGATTAAGTTGCTATTAACACATAAATTCTATTCTTACCAGTACATGTACACCCATGTTTTTTTTTTTTTTTTTAAACTTTTCTATGTCTCTACAGGACACTGATGTTATAGTTTGGGATACTGTCAATGAAGCTGGTCTTTACCGGTACAGATTTTATTACTGACTGAAATCATTAATGCTGATTTAACAGCTTCAGTTGGTATCTTTGAACCTTCGTTACTGATGTTTATTTTTTCGTGTTCATTAAAAGCTTCAAGGGACACAAAGGGCTAATAACAGAATGTTATTTCATGAAAAGTCAGAATGTTCTGATAACTAGGTGAGTATTAATTGAAGTTCAACTTTATATTTGGCATAACAATAGATCTTTACCCTAGTCAAAGGAATTAAATAATATTTTAATAGTTTCTGCATTATTTTGGTAACCTCAGTGAAGTGATCTGTCTCATCTGGACCTTTCCTTTTAAATGGATGGTTCAGGTTTGCAATATCATTGGGGACTTAAATTTTGCTCACAAATCTGTAGAGCATATCTTTGTCTTTGCCACTAGTTGTATTTCTGAATCAATGTCACTTCTTTGATGGGATGTGAGTCCTTTTTAGGCCACTATCCAGCTTTTCCAGACAGTTGATTATTCTTCTAGGAGAAGAAAAGCAGTGTGCACTCCCTTAGCCAAGAACTTGCAACAGAGCAAATGAATAAGTTTATAACTATTTCTCCATAACTCTTTGGTTTCCTCCATGTTTATAAGAATATTAGATTAACATTATCTTCTGGTTAATTACTGTCACAAAAGAACTTGCTTAAATTATGTCTTTTCTACAAAGGTTTTGTTATAAATAGATTGAATCTTTTTATGACTTCTGTCAGTTCCAAAGACAGTTTTGTAAAGTTCTGGGATCTTGACACTCAACACTGTTTTCTTACACTTGTTGGTCACCGCAGTGAGGTGAGTGCAATGAGTCATATGCTGAATTTTTCTAAATTATTAGTGGAAGGAGTTTATACACAAGGTTGTGCATGTTTTTATGTTTTTGGGGTGCAAAACATATATGAGTTTTAGCCATTTGTAATTGACTCCACATTGTCTCAGTATGCCCATTCATTTTTTCCCTCCATCAGTCAGTCAGGCAGGCCAGCAATCGGCCAGTCAGGCCATCTGTCTGTCTGTCTGTCTCTTTGTCTCCTGCCAGGCTGTTAATAAGTGAGCCAGTTCATCAGTCTGTATTTTTCTGACTGACAGTCATTTGCCAGCCTAAAAGTCATCCAGTCAGGCAGTCTGACAGTCTGTCCATCTGTCTGTCTGTCTATCTGTCCATCTGTCTGTCTGTCTGCCTGTCTGTCAGTCTGTCTGTCTATTTGTCCATTTGTGTGTCCATCTGTCAGAGTGTCCATCTGTGTGTCTTAGTTTCCATCTGTTTCTGTCTGTCTGTCTGTTTGTCCTTCTGTCTATCTGTCCATCAGCCTGTTTGTCCATCTGCCTGTCTGTCCATTTTTCCATCTGTATCCATCTGTCAGCCTGTTCATCTGTTTGTCTTTCTGTCTGTCAGTCTGTCTGTGTCCATCTGTCTGTCTCTGTCTATCTGTCCATCAGTCTGTCTGTCCATCTGTTTGTCTGTCTGTCTATTTTTCTGATTTTACTTCTGTCAGTATGTCAGTCTGCCAGTCAGTCANCTAGCAGGTAATGTGACGTCAAATCGAGAACACGAAAGTCTGCTTTTCACACATTTTCACTTGTTTGGGAAGGTTGTGGTCGATATTGTCCGAAATATGCCGACCAGGTGTGTTGTATGAGGAATGTATGAAGCGTGATACCCTCTTGCAAATTTCGCACGTTGCTACATCCTCCTACAACACACTTAGTCGGCATATTTTCGGACAAAATCGACTACAACCTTCCCAAACAAGCGAAAATGTGTGAAATGCAGACTTTCGTGTTCTCGATTTGACGTCACATTACCTGCTAGAGCCATTCCTCTTTAAACTCGGCCGTGGGGCAAGATGGCGGCCGATTTTCCGTATTTTGACTGGGCACAGACAATTGAAGATTTGAGCAAATAAAAAAATGTTTGCACAGAAATACTCCCAAAAATACGCTTATTTCGTTAAGCGAATAAAAATTTTTGGGTCTAGGTGCACTTTAAGAAATAACTCAGTTTAATTAAGTAACTAGTCATAGAATTTCTCAATTGTCCTTCTGTATGTGATTTGTCAGACTAGGTAGGACATAAGCAAAGGAGCTTTGTAAATAATGGGTACATCTAGTATTCATACACAGTGTACATTGCAAACTAAATATTTAGTTAATAGGAAACAAGAAACAAAAAAAAAGGTGGGAACCAAATCTAACATAAGCGTATATCGAGGGTAGAAGAGCAGAAAGTTGTAGAATATTTGGCTACTGATATTTGCAATTGCTGTACATGAGGTGTTGACATTTTCATTGGGATAACAGATTTAGTACAGAGATTTGTGAAAAGATAGACCTTTCATAAATTATCAACCTTTTATATTGATATAATTTACCATTTCTGGCCTCAGCATGATGTTTAAAAACATATGAATAATGAAAGAGGTCTATACTTACAGTGCATTAAGGTTTGCAACATCACGTTGTTGAGCCTACTCACAGTTTTTCAAGAATTACATTTTTGAAGAAAGCACAGATGACTTGTGGTGTTATGACACTCGAACTAGAAAGCAATTTTTGAAATGCCACAGCTGTCAGCTACACTGTTCACTGTCCTTCTGCTGTGTTGAAAATGTCTATACTAATAATTAGTTGTATAATTATGATTTCTTTTCTGCCAGGGAACTCAGCTTTCTTGTACACTGATTGGCACAATTTTCCGTCATAGCCATGAAAGAGTGGTGTCAATTAAGTCTGACTCATCACAGACATTCCTTGGCTGCCTTGTAAGTGCTAAAGATTGCTGCCAAACTTACCCATTAGATTGTATGTTCAAGTTTATCCTAATTTTTGCAAAGAAATGAGCATTAATTTACAATTTACTGATTTTTCTTCCTCCATCTGTACATGGTATGTTGAACAAACATGTATGTTGATCCTTGCAGTATGCAGGATGCTTGTCACATAGAAACCTAGAAACCTATTGTATGGCCTACCTCACCATGGATCTCGGTGGCTCAGTAGTAAAGCACCAGACTGCTAAAGGCCTGGCCTCAGTTGTTTATGTAATTTAAGGTTGATAATACTGTCCACTGGATAAGTCTTCATCTAGTTTAATGTTTACACTTATCCAGTGGATAATGGTTTATCTGTTGAATAGTGTTACCCACCCTTTACAACTGTGCCTTGATGTTCAAATCATCAAGCATTTTGAAATAAATGAGTCAAACATTTTCTTAATCGGTTGGTATCAAAAAAGAACCTTGCATGAATACTTTTACTACTCACAGTACAAAATTATTCTTGAAATGTGCTTGTCTTTTTTAAAGGGCAATGATTCACAGTTGGAATTGTTCAAAACATTAAACGATGAAGAAATACAGAAACACCTACAAAAGAAACTTAAGAGACTAAGGTCTGTGGAAAAAGAATGTGATCATTTTTACCTTCTTTTGAATTAAACTTTGGTTTTTAGTTGTTAAGACAAAATTTGATTTATTTTACTCACTTTAGAAAGAAAGCTAGGAAAGAAAATAATGATCAGGTTAGTAAATATTTGTTTAAGCACCAGCAAGATTAAAGCTTCTTTGCTGGCAATTTTTTGTAAGTGATATAAAAAGTATATAACACAATTAAAAATGTACATTTAGTAGTCTTAATTATTACACGACTGGGGCAGTGAGAGGGCCAATAACTAAAGTCAACCAATCAAAATGCTCTATGGCTGGTCAATATTCTCTCAGTATTGGACCGGGCACTGTCCCGAATGGTCCTGAATGATACGGCACTTGTGTCCCTTTGAACTTCAGTTGTATAATAAATCTCTTATTGACCAAGCTTGCTCGGGACCGTACTAGAAGAATATCGGCCCTCGGTCCGCACTGTCAAGACCTCGGGCCGATATTCTCCCAGTACAACCCTCGCGCTTGGTTAATAAGATATATGCATTTCTAACAGATTTTTTTTATACTTAATCTCCTCTAGAAATTAGAAACAGACCTCGAAGCCACAAGAACAGTAGAGGACGAACTTCAAAGAGTACATTCCCTGAAACTCCGTTCAAAGATCAAGTGAGGGAATAATTATCTTTTACTCTAACTTGTCTCAACTCACAGGATAATTTGTGTGACATTTATGACATCCAGCGTATTGTGGGAAGATTAAGTATAATTATAAGGAATTTTCAAGGTTGACAAGATTTCTTGATAACTTGTCCATGAAACAGTTATTACTGAACCACAAGCATGTACTTGATGGTGAATACAGGGTTTGTACAGGTCCTAGAAGGCCTGGACACTTTACAGGACTGGAAAGTCCTGGAAAAGACTAAAGGTCGTGGAAAGTCCTGGAAATTTGCTTAACTCAAGGAATGAGGTTTTAAGAATTTACCTTAGTTTAGAAATATATGAGTCCTGGAAAAATCAATCTGAGTCCTAAAAAAGTCCGGGAGAAAAGCTCAATATTTTTTTTCCAGAAAAAGGGTACAAACCCTGTGAATAGGTTATTAAAAGAGATATACAAATAAACTGAACTCAAGAATGGCCATGGCATAGTGGCTGATACACCATGGGGGCTAAGCCAATCAAAATCCTTGATTTTCTTGGTATATCAATACCATTCAGTAAAGTTGATATTTGCAACTGATTTTG